ATAACTTTGAACAGTACAATTAGAGATGTGGGGATAATCAAGCCAGTTTTTGTCTTACTAGCCAGCACAGTGCAAGCTTCAGTGGGAGTCTGGAATTCAGCATCTTTCCTTATGTATAAGAAACCTTCAGTTGCTGAACCTTGCTGAACCTTTTGTTGACGCAAACTCACTGTTCTCAGTACAGAACTCGCAGGTTAATGCTATCGTGGATACTCTTAAGAACAATTTGCAACATCCTTTGTTTGCTGTACAGGTGAAGTTTCAGGCAGACTGTTACTGGTTTTGATGTAAATAAAAGCTACCCACAACACCAGAATGTTTTGGAAAATCCATGTGATTTATCAAGGTGTTTTCAGGACTCCCTCAATTACCTGCAGTTTTAGCAGCCTTTAAAACTGGGAGCCCTTAGAGCCTGGCTCACGTCTTCTGGACCCAGGCAACAAAATGTGTGACTGTTGCTGCCTTAGACCCAGAGATTCAGATTAAGATCTGACACTTTCTCAGTGATGATTGAGGAGTACCCTCCTTGCTGTGTTTAGTAGACAGGGGCAAGGGGTCCTGCATCCTGTAGACCCCCAGCAAATTCCCACCTGATGATGTGACACTGGAGAATATTTCTGCAGAATACACTGTGGTCCAGCATTCCTCCTGGTCACCTGCAAGCCTTGATAGACCCTAAGGAATGAGCAATTTGTAGGCCTCCCTCTTCAGGATTAATATGACCTCCATTTGACATCAGTGGTTCCCAGGGAAGAGTTTGGCTATGTCAGCCTTTCCTCCCACTGACACGGCCGGCCATTCTGCTTGCAGTGTACCCAGGAAGGATGGACTCCTCTTTAAAGTGAGCTCCTCAGAGCATATTTTGGATGGTGCACAGGCAATTACAGAGTAAAGAGAAAAGAAAAAGAGTAAAAGCTCTGCCTAATGCACAGAACTGTCATGTCCTAATGTAAGTCAACACCCCTTATGTTTCACTATGTACTCTGTTAGAACAGGATTTTTGTAGCTGTGCTTACCCTCTTTTTCTTTCTTTTTCCATTTGTTCCTGTATCAGGTGATATCTTATGTGAGAATTTCTACATTGTCCATGCACCTGAACACCCAGATCTCACATTACTACAGTGTGAAATAGGCCATTGCTGGCAAGTGATGATTCTTATAGAGCTGCGAAGGGTACGTACCATATTCACCTATGTCTCTGCAAACTTCCGATGGGCTTTCAGTAAGATGACACCTACCTCCAAAGGCTCATATTTCCCCTTCAATTTTTTTTTTTCCTTCCTTTTTCTGACACAGTAATTTGAGGCAAGTCTGGACATCTTAAAGAGCCAGGAAATTGTGACAGCTGTTTCCTGAAGGGGGGAATACTATTTAAATAATTTTATGTAGTCTCCTATGCCTGCTAAAAGAGATAATAAATATAATTAGAAAAATGTGACTAATACCTTTCTCTGAATCCCTATTGTGCATTTTCATTAGCCATGTGTTCTCTCTCCTCCAGGCCCTGATCCCACATGTGCTAAACAGTAAACACAGAACCTATCTGCAAACCTGAAGTTAAGGGTATCTTATACCTCAAAGTATAGAGGAATCTTATATATCTTAGTTTTCTAGCTCTTAAACTGGACCTTCTATAGAGAAGGTGACTTATTGACTAGATGGTGCACCTTTACCAGTCTACCACTTTCAGCATTTTTTGTTCTTTCGGTGTTCCCAACAGTTAGAGAAATACTGTTGTCCTTCTTTGGGCACAGAGGAGGAACTGAGAAATAAAGTTAAATGACTGAGCCATGCAGGAACTCTGTGACAAACTAGGATGTGATACAGTTAAACAACACTGTTGAGGAATAAATTTTCCTCTGAAGCTTAACTCCCAGTTTAAATGGACATACTCTACAAACAAGCACCATGTTACAATACCAAGGCTCGTTAAATGATGGATTGAAAGTCAGTCTCAAAGTACCAGAGCAGCACATTCTCCTTGAGCCTTCCTTTTTAATATACTGTGAATTACGTATATGCCATCAATAACCTGTTGTGAAGAACAAAACTTTTCCTTGCTAGATCAAGCACTGCCATTACAAAAATGGTATATTGTGCTTCTCATTTTATTTTGCAGATAAACAAGACTGCTTTAATTACCGTGATCTGACATGCCATCTCCAGCACAGAAGGTAAGTACTGAAAGGTATAACACATTTGTAATACAGGGATGGTTTATTTTAGGCATTAAATGAAATGGCATTAACATAGAGTATGAAAAATACTGCCTTATTCTTAATAGAATCTTTCTTGAAGGAACAACTGTAAAAATGGATTTCAGATTTTACTGCTTAAGTCAAAATATTAAATGTTGTACTAAATTTTATTTTGGAAAACATGAAGCTTGTGCCACAAACAAGAAATAACTTTTATTATTCAGGGTGTCTTGGGTGTGTTTTAATTTCTTAGATTTCATAATGCAAAGTTAATTCCTACTACGCCTTAAATAAGTAGGAAGTTAGCAGAGTCAAGGAGCCCTAAAAGTCAAATCTTTTCACAAATACCACTGTTCACTTTATGATTGATTAGGGAAAAATAGCCACTGTGATCAATATGACAAGCAAATGGGAGGACTGAGTGGAAAAGAAATAGGTTGAGAAGTATTTGAGAGGTGGAGGCATTTTAAGAGAGATTAAAAAGATGACATCAAAGCCAAAATGTGTATAAAAGAAAGGCCACATTCAGGCAAGAATAAATCAGAGCACTAGAAAAATTGTCATTTTTGATACCTCAGTCAGACAGCACAGAATACCTGCTATGCCTAACAGAAGAAACAATTCTTGCACCTGCAGAAAGAAAAGAAATAATAGCAACATAGCCTCTTCCTGATGAAAACAAGGAGATGTGGATGCCCTTGAAACTATACATTGAGATCCCTATTAAGGTCACAGCCTGGCAAATGTGGGAACAAAACCAATCCAATAACACAAACCATCTTGTCTGGATTACTGCTGAATACGCAATACAAAACATATTTTCTCCCATATGCTTCAGCATGAATATTAGCTTGAAAAGTTTTGTGTAAGCTGCAGCAGAGCTGTGGGAGCTGGAGGGAGCATCCCCCCATGCTGCAGTGCTCAGTGCCAGGGCAGCGGCACCGTGACTGCAGCCCGGGCTTCCCACTCATTGCAGGGGGAGGCATGCAGGCACCTGCACCATGCCCCAAGGTGTTCTTGGGCCACACGGTGAGGACCAAAAATTTGGGTTGTAGAGATCCTGTTGTGATGTCGAGGGGCAGCCACTGATCACCGCAGAAGAGTACTTGCATTGAAACTGCAGGCCTCTTTCTTCCTAAGTTCACGTATGTAGTACATTCAGTAATTAAATAAAGCAAAGAAGGAATCATGCCACATGACTGTCCACCTGACAGCTTTCCAGGTACACATAAACAAACCTGAGCGGATATCAGGGAAATAACTGAACAGCCTAACTCTATCAACACACACAGGACTTTGTGTATTTTAAGTGTGTGCTCTGCAAGTTCTCTGTAGGCAGCAATCATGAACGTAAGGTGAAACATCAAAAATAGGACTTCAAGGAAAGATTACAACATTTCCCAGGACAGGCATCTGGATGTTGTTGAGAATGAAATTTTGAAAGAAACTGCAGCAGGAAAAAAAAAAATCAAATAAAGCCTAGGTCTTACAGACAAAGAAATATACCATATATCACAATATATTTTTATAGCACATGCTTCAATAGCTCCCCAGAACCAGGTCACCACCTTAATGTTGGCTGACTAAAGCTATTGCATTACTATCATCTCAGATCACTTTTGTATTAGTGATGTGCTAATACCACCAAACAGATTTCAATACATTCTAATACTGGAATTAAATAGTGTTTTCTGATAAGGAGCAAGTCACCTTCTATTATCAGGCATCAAATCATTTTAGTATTTTGCTGATATGCTCTCCTCTGGTACAATCTGCCAAAGAAAATAGTTTGCCTGCCTGTAGAGTGGAAAGAAAATGTAACAGAATAACATGCAGATAAAAATAGATACACAAATTAGCCCTGAAGTGTCATAGATTTCCCAAGGCCTTGCTAAAAACTTTGTTATATTTGGGTTTAAGTTCTCAAGCCCAATTGTTTTCTCAGAAAATAGTAGATCCTATTCAGAAAGCTTAAATGATGGCAAAGGTATTTAAAGGTAGCTTATTTAACAGGTATGCTAGACAGGTAGTGAAAGATATCTTTGTAGTATCATCATGTGAATTTGGAACTCAGATATCATGTATGGACCAAGCCTTTCATTTTAGCAACTGGGCTGTGACTATAAGGGTGCGTCTAAATTCAGGACTGATGGATTTGTGGGTTTTGTGGGGGTTATGAACTTGGCTTGCATACATACATATATGTGTATACATGGAGACTTATGGTACACGGTCAAGCACATGAGTGGTGCACCTGAAGTTGTTTCCTTTTGAAACAAAGGTTGCTACCATGCAATAGGCAGCTAGGAAGCACCATTTTAATGTGGATGCAAGGTCTTTCACTACATAGCTCTCTACCTTTTTATGGTACTATTTTATGGTACTATGGTATTATTTCATATCTGTGATGCTTGTTGGTAGAGGTGCTGTTACAGGTCTGATCTTTACCTATGTAACAGTCATCAAATTATAGTCACAGGTGAACCTCTCCACTATTACCTCTCCATTTTTAATTACTTAGTGCTGTGTTGTACTAATGGTGGATAATACTTATCAAAAAGGACAGAAAAATGTGTGCATTTGGGGGCTGTAATTGACAGAAACTGTACATAAGTTCCTTGCTGTGCCTTGCCCTCCTTCTCTTGGCATGTTTTCTTGACTGAAATTCTCTTCTACTGCAATGATGTATTTAAAGACAGGTCCTCCTCCATGACAAAACCTTCTGAAGGCTAGTGCTGCAGTGGTTTAAGTCAGCTACCCACACTCTCTTCTTCCAGTTTCTGAAAGGGAATCACAGCTTGTTTATCCCAAGTGGAACTCCAACAGGCTCTCTTCTGAGTCATAGTCACAGTAGCAAGACTGAAAGAGAGATGAGCAGCACAGCTGGAGCCATGGCTTCCAGAGGAGGTTGTCCCATGACAGCTGGTCAGGGACAGCATGCAGGGATCTGGTGTGATTGCCTACTGCTAGGTGTATGACCCTGAGGATTTCATAGAAACGGCTCTCTGTTTCTGGAGTCAGTGGGACTTTCTCCTCAGGGTCTCTGGAAAGGTCGAAGAGCAGTGGGGGGTCATGCCATGTGATGAATCCTCCATGGCAGAAGCAAACATGAGAATCATAGCAACCATTGGAGTCTTCAGGACTGAAGTTTGGAGTGAAGAAGAAGACTTTCCAAACAGATTCACCTGCAATTTACAGACACAAAACAGATGGTAATAAAATGATAAACCAAAAGTCCCTTAATCTTATGAAGCACTAATTTACACCACAGGAAATCAGTCTTTTGGAATAACCCTGCTCTGAACAGAAACAGCAATATACTGAAATTGTAAAACAAAACTGAGCAAAACAAAACTAAGCAAAACACAGCAATTTTCATGCTACACAGATTTATGAAATAATTATGATCATTTAATTCCCTTGGAAGAATTCTCATTAACTAAATCACAGAAGACTTAAAAGAACTTTGCGTTTTTACATACACAGTGCTAAGAAGATTTGCATAAATATTTACTAAGCCATTGCACTGTCTTCTTCAAGACTTATTAAAATGTACCTTTGCCCCTTGACCATATCCAGACACTGTTGGGCCATTTCTGCTTCTCATTTTCCTAATCAAAATAATTTCATTTTTAGAGTTTTCTCCCTTCTTCTCTTTGTTCTATTAACCTATTGCACTCTGCCACAGGCTTACACTGCAAACACCTGGAGACTGAATTTCTCATTTTATTAAATGTGATGACATGGAAGGGTATAATGGATGCTGAATTCCTTTCTTAGGCCTCTAGAAGTCTTTTCCAAAAATAAACAACTGCTATGTTAGTGTAAATTTTAGGTCACAATCTGCTTTGTAAAATGGGAACCAAAGGTCTTCATTTATACTTGGTCATTTCCTCACAGCATAATTTGCTCTGTACGGAAACTGAACTGTCTGCATTAGTGTAATTTCAGTCAGTATTTTCACTGTTTAAAATACTTGTTATTTCCTGGATTAAGAATAAGCAGATATCAGTTGGCTCCTTCAAGAAGCACCCTTGAACAGGAGGAACACTGGAGAATCTGAAACCACCTAACAAGAATGGAATAAACAAAAAATGGCTCCTATTCTTGCCTAGTATGACAGAATAGACAGGGAAGGCAGGAACAGACAGGCCCTTCCAGAGAAGCACACTGTCTTCCCACAGCCAGGGAAGAATACAGTTCTCAAAAAATGGAGCAGAGAATAAATAATTAGAGTCAAATTCTGTACTTTATTCTTAATAAAAAGAGGATACTAAACAGCTGAGGTCTATGATTTCAGACTACCTACTCACTTCAGTATATATAAACATCAGGAATATATATTCATCAGTAATTTACATTCCTCAGCACCCTATTGAGAAAAACATTTTTTGTATCACCTCACATTTTTTAAATTCTAGGGGAAAAACTCTTTTTGTATTTGGTGAACTTCGTGAATTTCACAGAAGGCTTGTTAATCTGGTAACAGATTGTCATGAATTTATGTGTGCTACTGTGGTTAATATTCATTAATCAATTCATCAGATTCAACAGAATGGAAAACACTAGAAAATGTGGAAAGCGCAGAGATGAACTGGTATATGCCATGCTGTAAGTATATCACACTCAGTTTTTAAAGATAAAAACAGGTTTAAAGAAAGAAATGTTTCAGTGGCCTAAGGAGTTACAGGCTGCCGTTCCAGTCTACAGCATGAACATAAAGGACAGTACGTGACCTTAAGATTTCTTACAGCTTCTTCTGTCCCACAGCATTTTTCATATGATAAGAGATTTTACCTTTAGGAACCAACTCAATGACAAAGCCTGGAGACTTCCAGTTCACTTAGTCTGCACTTAAATCAAGGTCAGAGGGGTGATGGTTGTTATACACATTAGACTGGGAGAACCCTCTGAATGTTCCTTGGAAGTCAGCAAAGGGGAAGGAGATTTAAAGGCTGAGTGACTTGCTGGCGCAGGCAATAGGACGTGCCAGGCTTTAAAAGGCTCTGGCTGTGACAGCAGCAATGGCACAGTCTTGGAAAAGGGAAGGGAATAGAAGGGAAATGGAGGGACAAGGCAAGGCAAGGCAGCATTTGTTCATCTACCTTTCAATACCATTTGGAAAGGTTGTTCTGATAGTTGAATTCTTTGATGTTTCCTCAGAATTAAAATAAACAATCAAAATCTAACACTCCTCCTTAAATTTCTTTGAACTTATGCATGGAACATTTCCCAGAGCAGAAATATGCCTCTCATTTACTGAGATGTAGAATTTACATTCTGTGAAGGTATGTAATTCTATACTAAGCATTCCTTCAGACTCTTTATGTGTGTTTAATTGTCAAGATGGACAGGGAAGAGCAGAAAAAGCCAAAGGGCTTTATTAATCAGTGCACTGTGTGCCTTTGTAGACCATGCAACATTTACCCCACCTGAGAATTTGATTCAGGGCACTAAAACACCTTGAAAGAAAAAGAGCTGGGGAAAAAAAAAAAAATTATATAGCTATTAATATGTCAGCTAAAAGAAATTCCAGTAAGGCCATGTACCTGAGAACTTCGTTGTTGGACTGTCTTACCACAGATCTTTGATGGTGCACTTGTGCTGAATGACATTCAAAAGAAGTTTTCAGCCAGTTTTTTTGGTGTTGGGCACTGTAGCACCAGGCCAGTTCAAGGGCTTAGAGATACCAATATAAAGTTGGGGATTCTGAATTAATGGAAGTCAGTAAAAGCAGTTTATATAGGTGAAACATGAGGAAAAAAAAAAAAAAGAAATAAGGTCGTTGTACCATGATTTTTTTCCCCGCAGAATAAAGATTTCTTTAGGTTTGTCTATATGCAGAGCCTACAGAATGCTGCAAAATCATGTGTGGGGTTGGGGACAGGGCAGAGCATGTGTGACATCACATCATATCTGAATCACATCAGCAGTGTTTTGAAGAGCTGATGCTAGTTTATCAGCTATGTTGCTACATAATGTCATAAATATACCACGCAAAACACTGAGATCTGGGAGATCAAAGTCTGTTATTACACAATGTTCATCTGTTGCACTGCAGAGATATTTCAACAAGGATCTGGAACTTCATGTGGTGCTGGAGGAACTTTAACCACTGATTTCCTAAGCATTATAAAAACCAAAGCTATCTGTCAGTGTCTGTGGCTGTGGACCAGCCAGTGTCATATACTAGGATACATAAAGAGCTGTCAGACTTCTAATCTGTAAAGCTGATGAACTGTATAAGGCTGAATATTAAAAAGAGAGCACTCTCTCCCAGTCTTTCTCAGCTGATATAAAATCTCATTTTGTCAGAGAGTTAACTACAAGGATCAAATTAATCTCTCAGTAATTAATGATACCTTTGCTCTGCAAAGCATCTGGATAGTAAACTCTCTTTTTATGTAAAGATAACTATATGTCTCTTACTCAGTGAAGTTAGTAGTAAAACTGTTAGGGCTCCCCCACAGCAAAGTACATAAAGTCCATTCTAAAACAGCATGCAAACCTCAGGGCTGCAGTACCCTTCAAGAGTCTTCCTCAATTCTTCATAGCTACTTTATTTAGCATCCATTTTTCCTGCAATTCTCCAGCAATCTGAATTGTCCAACAATTTCACCTGTTCAGCTCTCAGAATACCTTGACACTTTAAGAAAAACAAAACCTACACAAGTTGTACATATAAATTGTCTCAAATTAGAATAGGTTGCAATTACTTCACGCAAATCAGCTATTAGCATAATTGTTCAGAGTATGATCTCCCGAAGAGACTCCTCTTCTGTTTTATTATCCTTCACCCATCTTTTAATCCTCTCATACTTATACAGACAACTTAGCTCCAACAGACAGGTAGCAGCCATGACATTAAATAGAAGTCTCTCAGTAAAACACATTAATATTTCCAAGATGAAGTGACACACTGGATATGGATATCATTTCTGTTATAATAGCACTGTTCTTAATCACTGATGGCTAAATGGTGTTTTCTGATAAGCAGTTCTTGAAGTGAATAGAAGATATTGCTGTGTTATTGCCTGGAACTCACTTTTACTGCATTTAATCTATGACAGTAGCTTTATATGTTTGCTGCTACTGTCACCTCCTTTGTTCATATTACCTTGTTTCTTCTTTCTAAAGAAGAACAAGTTAAACAAGTCTGTTCTTCACTGTAAATTGGGGAGCTGGTCTCTCCTTGACTTCAGGTGCCTTTGAATGTAACCCTTTGGGCCTAGCGTACCACTGTAAATTGCCACAGGCTTTTCCTGTATCTGGAGTGTGCTCTGCAGCTGTTGTCAGCTCACAGGTTCTAACTCATGCCAGCTCTTCAGTGTTTCTACAGAGCAGCAGATGAAAGCTGCAACTCACTTGAAAATGGCATTCTTCAGATAACTGTTGTTATTGTTAGACTGAATCCTTTATTCCTGCTTCCTATGTCTTTAGAGTCATTTAGAATTGTGAGGTTCTCTGTTAATCTTAAGTGGATATCATGTATGCGTATATATTCAGCTCTTCAATAATTTAAAAATTTAGGAAATGTTTAGTTTGCTAAATTCTCGTAAGACCATATATAGCACATAGAGAATACTGTTTGGTTACTATAAGAAAAATATAAACATTATTTTTATGAGTATATGCATTCATCAAACAGCTAATAAAAATCTGCCATTTGAGTTACAAAATTTGTAACTTTACTGTTCCTTCAGTGAAAATTTTTATTTTTTAGTTACTTATTTTAGGTATCTGGGTATGTTACAATGTTATATTGTTATGACACGGAAAAGGTATCACATTATGTCCCAAAGTATGTGGAGAATAACTGGGTGGTATTCAAAGACATAACGTTAGTTTATGACAATCAGTTGTTGCTAGAAGAGACTTGCATAAAAACTGTACAGAACATACAGTATTTGAGGTAACATGAAGGGGGGAAAAAAAAACCCCAACAAAAACCACAAAACAAAAACCAAAACCAGTAGTAGCAGTGATATTAAAATCTTAAGGATAGAAACTGCAGTGTTATGTATCCTCTAAAACAGAAAGGACTGCACATTGGTGCATAGCTAATAATTATAGTGAACCACTGCTGGAGTAGAAATACAAGACATAGTGAAACCATGCTCGGGCTGCTAAAGTCAAGACAGAAATCTCATGACTGAGCTCATTATCTAAAGTAAGTGCTGTGGTA